GGTGTGGAGCCTTCTTGGAACTGCTGAAAGGACTGTGTTGTAGACTGGAGATAGATGATGTCATATCCCTCCCCTTCTATTGAGGGAGGGCTGTTCAATTTGATGGCCTCTTTAACCCCTCTTTCAAACCAGCGGTCCTCTCTGTCCAAAATGTGGATTTTGCTGACTTCAAAAGAGTGGCCTTTGTCTTTTAAATGCAGATGGACTGCTGAATCTTGTCCTGATGGGTTTTTTTCTCCTATGTTGTACCACACATTTATGAAGTGGCTGTTTGGTTTCCCTAATGTACAGATCTGCACATGTCTCATTGCATTGTACTGCATTGTACTGCAACTCTGTGGACAGATACATCAAATTCACATGGGGAGATGTTAAAGAAAATAGTCTAGCCTTCCTGGACTGTGCAATACACATTAAGGAAGATAGAAGCCTTAACATTGGAGTTTACAGAAAACTGCCACACACAGATCAATATTTACATTTTGATTCTCACTCCACTGGAGCACAAAATGGGAGTTATTGGAACCCTACACCACCAAGCTAAAGGCCGGCCCACCAGCAAAGATGGGAAAGAAAAAAAACCTAAAACACATCAAGGAGGCCCTCAGAATGTGTAGCTGTCCCAAAAGGGCCTTCATCAAAGCCCCCAAAAGACCCTGCAGGAGCTCCTCCATAACAGAAAAGAACAATAAATGAAACAATGTTGTCATTCCATACGTTGCAGGAATATTTGAAAAGTTCAGGAGAGTCTTCAGCCAACACAACATATGTGCTCACTTTAAACCCAAGAATACACTAAAGCAAAAGCTTGTCTACCCCAAGGATAAAACACCCAGACACAAACTAACATACTGTATATGCAGTACAATGCAGTGAGACATGTGCAGATCTGTACATTGGGGAAACAAAACAACTACTTCATAAACGCATGGCATAACATAGGAGAACCATCTGCATTTAAAAGATAAAGGCCACTCTTTCAAATACAGCAAAGTCCACATTTTGGACAGAGAGGACCGCTGTTTGAAAGAGAGTCAAAGAGGCCATTATGTGAAAACTGAACTGCCCTAAATAGAGGGGGATATGACATTATCTCCAGTCTACAAGGTGTCCTTTCAGCAGTTCCAAGAAGATTCCACACCCACTTGCACCACTCAGGTGACCTTGAAGACATAGATAAATCTCCAAGTGTCCTCAACAATTCTCTAAAAGAATGCAAATTACCAGCTGTCTGTAAGGGATATAAATCCTTCCATTCTCCACTATCCAGTCAGAGTTGAAGAAGCTTCTTGGATGAGAAGCGAAGAAAAACAAGAAAGGATAATGTACCATCCAGTAAGGGATAATGTACCATCCAGTAAGGAGCATTGTGGAATGGTGACCTGAAATGTGGCAGAAGGGAACTATAGTGGCAAGACCAAAGTCACGCCATGGTCTGTATGCATCAACCAGGCCTTTTTCTCTCTATTCCTTGGCTTTGGCACCTCTTTATTGGTTTTCTTCCACTTAACTCTAGGTCCTGATCATGATTATTCTTTCCTCTTTTATTCAAGAATAGTCAAGTTAGGATTTCAATTTGAATATTGTCAATTCTAGTCTAAATCTTTAACAAAAACACAAAGTTTCCCTGGTGAATGGGTTAATCACCCTAAAAAAATAGCTAAGTACACTAAACATTTATTATTACCTGATCTAATGAACTCTCAGTTCCAAATGCAGAAAAATCAAAAAAAGTAAATGCAGGTGACTGTGTCTTTGAAGTAAATCCAGCAAGAAAAGAAAAAGCAGGTGACTTGGCCAGTAATCCTTCACTTTCTGGTGGAAATCTAGTAAAATGAAAGAGAAGAAGATATAAATATTAAGTGGAACTTAAAAATCATTCTTTAGAAGGATCCTGAAGAAAAGCAAAATTTGAATTTGAACAATGCTTACAGTTCAAATGGAGTTCTCATCCCACCAGAGTCAGGTGTCTTTGGAAGTATGTTAGGCTCTGGAGTTATTAGCCGTGGAGTTGCTGCAGTATCTTCATCTCTTGTTGAAGAATAACATCCAGTAGGTTTAGTATAAATTTCTGTCTGCCTATCCTGTTTAAGAAAATGCTGCTATATCATATTTGAGGAATCCACGACTACCACAAATATATTCAGGGCTTTTAAATATTTTCAACAATCACTTTTGGGGCAATAATATGAAAATTGTAAGATATAAATTTATTTATTTATTTATTTCATAAATGTACTTATTTAATTTATATGCCACCCATCTCGCTACTCAAAACACTATCCAGATTTATAAATCAATATATAAATGATGGAATAAGAACTGAAGTTTGTCTTCAGAGAGAAATCTACCCACATAGATTTGAAGCTGTTAGTCTTCTGTTCAGGAATGTTAGATGAAAACCATTTTTCTCAACCAGCTGCCTTCCAAAAAGGTACAATGTAAGGAATTTAAAGCAGCAAACATCAACTCAACTAACATTAGCATATATCTGGTTTTCAAAATTATTGAAAATCATTTAATAGAACAATATAACAAGACGTTAAACTAACTTGAGATATAACTGCAGAATCCATTGATTTGTTTTCCTTTTGTTTGTAGTCAGCCTTTTTTCCTACCACAGAAAATTATATTTTATAAAAATCAAGATGGTATATATACTGATTATACTAGTACATTATTGGAGAAGAGAAATGCATGCTGCTATATTTTATTTATTTATTTATTTATTTATCAAATTTATACCCCGCCCTTCTCCTAACGGACTCAGGGCGGCTTACAGCCAGTTAAAACAGATAACTAATACAATAATACTAAATTTAAAATATGATTAAAATGAAATATTCATTATTGGCCATTTCTTTTTAAAATTATTTTAAAACCAAATTAAAATACCCCTTAGGCCAGT